GCAACAGATTAAGCTAAATATTCACGCATCATCTCATTGAAATATACTTTACTTTAAACGCGATAGAATGTCCACGGCAGTTAAGCAATGAATCTCCCGACTGTAGTTTTGATACATTTCAAAAGGAAGTAGCTGAAACGAACGGTCATGCTTTTATGGATTATGCCTCCTTTGGATTGGCTTTGCAATCGCAGTTATGAATTCTTTTGCGGCAGTAAGCATAGCTAAAATTATGTTTCTAGATGGTGATAATGTTAAGCAACTATTGCATTGATAGAACCTCAGTGACCATGGTGAATGGGTCTAACTTACGCAGACATTCAGCCTACTTTCAGGCTCAATTATTCCAGAGGACGGGATCATCTCAAAGGTTGGAATCCCTAAACACCCCAGGGGATTAAGGTTGCGCTTTCGAGTACGTCGTCGTGGGTCAGTATAGGTCAGATTCCCCCTCTCCTCTGACGAGATGTCCTCGGTCTCGTTTGGAAGCATTTGCCGCCATGTCACCGGTATAGGACATGGATTGTGCAACTGAAAAGTGCATAACTTGGCCTCACCGACGATCACCTCACCAAATTCAAGGATGTGGATGTTCGGAATGAGAGTAGGGACTACCACATCAGCCTTCAGTCGTAGAGGAATTAACGGCCCACAGGAAACCTCGATGAGAAAATAGGCATTCAGATTGTTTTTAACATGTACAGGCTATCACGAACGCCACTTAGTATACTTGATATAATACGGTTACGAGTCAGAATATGATTTATTTGAGGTTCTCTGAGCTTCGTTGATTCTTAGTTAATACCTCTGGGCGCGGTAGATGGACATTCAGGCCATATAGTACACCGTGTCCTATCACTCACACACCTGCCTTGGCTAAAACTTACCTCTGAGACATGAAACAGGAAAGAGTGAAGTCAATCCATATCGGGAGTAGTGCGTACTTTACTCAGCATAAGTAAGCAAACATGCTCTGCAACCATTTCTCCTATTTAACAATTGCAGTTCGGAAAGCTACCAGCCAACAGGATAAGTATATCCTTCCTTAAAGTGTAATCCAGATAGGACATGAGCCCAATGACGGTTCCACTTCCCGGTTAGAGAGAGGGCAAAATGGGTAGAAGGGCGCTTGTAAATCGCGCTACGAGAAGCACTCGTCTCGTCGTGCCTTGGAACTCACTCGTATGCTCCGCCAGTAGCCGCGCAGCTGCTGGTACCATGGGCAGGATAGTCGTACCGACAAAGACAAGGAAGGAAGGAAGGAATAACCGTTGTTGGATGTGGATATGGCTGGTCGGTGACGGTTTACAAGCCAGTAATAGCCATTACGGGCTTTCCTCGTCTCCTTCGTTAATAAATTTCTGCCCATAATGAAGGCGTTACTGTTTGGAATATTTATGTTTGGTTGCCTTCCAAGCAGCTGATTCGATTTTTATTGGTTCACATTGTACGCCGACGTGAAGGTTGTATTTTAATTTTTTCCAAATTCCTGGGGAATTAGGTATTTCGAGTGAATCCACTGTCCGGTGCGTGACAAAACATGCTTGTATATGCACAGAAGTACTTAGTAAGTATCGACGATATGGCCCCCGACAGACCACGGGAACAGGAACCGTCTGTAAGTTGGTTGGCTTTGCGCTATCTTTCAGGAAAATGAGGGTTACGGCTAAAATTACGGCTAGCACTCACGTAAAGTTACGCTCAGGGTTAAGAAAAGAATTTAGGTTTAGTTAGTGTTAGTGTTGGTGCTAGGGCTAGGACACGGGATTATTTACCCTCCCTGAACGGTAGCGTAACGCCACCTCTATTACGTGGGGGCGCGTTTTTTCTTCCTGTGCTGCCGGGGAGGGGGGCTCCCACATACCACTCGTGAGATTTATCAGAACGTAATTAACTTACCTTTAACATGACCAGTATTTCCACAGGACCCGGGTCCACCTGAGCTCCAGCCGGATCAAACATGACATCGAAGCTGCACGCATCGAAGACAGGAGCACCAAGGAGTTGACAACTGCTTTCCAGGCTAAAGGTGAAACCGCATTCTAGGGCGGCTTGCCTTCCCGCCTTATCTACTTCCAGTTTTGCTTTGAAATTGCCGAGGTTTATCAGTCGAACAGTGCGTCTGGGAAACTGACAGAGGAGTGTCAGTCCAAAATTCAACACATATTCTGGCAGGCATGGTCTAGATTGATGGATAAAAACAAAAATGAATGAGGCTATCAAAGGAGTTTGGGGGATCTAATCGACTTAACCTCTCCACCAGTTCGTCCCTTTTTCAGATAAATTGTATTTGCCTTCACTAGCCTTCCGTTGCTTTGATAAAGGAACAAACGTCCTCTATAAAGTCATACCAGTCCTGCAGTTTCTGGTAATTTTTGTTCCATATATTACGAGAATCGTTTAAGGCTTTTTCACTATTACAACCACAAAGGTTATAAGAAAACGCTTAAAATCGACTCCGAGTTTGGAGTTATAGTAAGGGAAAGTTTGGCCTCTAATTTCTAAGATGAAGAAGAACAGTGGCGATTATCCCCGCAGCTAACAAGTGTATTCACTAATTAAAAAACATTTTTTGAACATTCAGAAAACGTCTTTGATATCTAGCTTGTTTTATTTTCAAAAAACGACAGAACTTCTTTTGTGAATATCAGAAAAACTCAACCCCGATTTATATTGGTGAAATAATAAGCCACACGTAGCCGCTGCAGCTTGGAAGTACTTCACAGTTTTCCGATGACTTCACTATATGCGCTTGAGTTCTCGTTTTTCGTTGCACACTCCAAATAAAACATATATTGAATAAATAGTAGGTGAGGTATCACAGAAGATGTTATTTGGTCTTATGAATGGTGTTTTGACTAGAAAGGAATTGTCAGAAAAGTTGCTTCATAGGGGTCATAATTCGCATACTATGGATGTCCTATTCATGAAATTCTAACCAAAATTATAAAATGTACTTCCGATTACAAAAAAGATTAACTAAGTTGGATTGAAATGTTAAGTATCATGACCAAAGCCCCTTTATAATTCAGTCGCATCAGGATGCCGGCTTTTAAATGAGGTTTTTCTTTCACGAGTTAAAACTGCATTCACGACAACCAATACTTCAGTAGTATTCATTGTATATTTAATTTCTATGCCCTTGTAAATTAAATTACCTTTTTACGTCTCCTTCAAGGATGATACTTGAAGGATTGGTAGTTTGCGCTTTTAAAAAGAGAGCCCTCTGATGAGGATTTTAAGGAACTTGAAATGTCCATTGAAAAGTGTTGTATCTGCCCTTTGATTGATGCGACTTCTAGGGTGTACAACATGGCTCACAACAACGGAAAAAGATATTTCGAGTCCTGTATGATCACGAATCAACTCTCAATAAATAAAAGGAATTTAAATAAGAAAACCACAATAAAGCATCTTTGTGTATGTCGTTTTATGAATGTAGTAATTAACAAATTGGAAGTTACTTCTCATAACTATTAAAAAATAAGCCAAACCAGGGTAGATTATGAATTTTTAATCCAGGTGCTTACAAAAATTATTCTTACCGCACGCGTGTGAATTACACAGTCAAAAACAGTTCGATAATGTCTTAAGAGGTACGTTTTACAACAGGATGAATCTCATGCCTGCCTTGTCTATAGAAAAACATTTTTCTAGTAGTTTTGAAAAACGGGCTACTTGAGGATCCATTAACTCACTGCAGTATAAAGCGAATGTGAATTAAGAAACCAAAAAAATATCAATGCTGTAAGCTTCCTTGTTAGGAATAAACAGGAACAAAAATCAAGCAAACTATAATCATCGTGGGTAACCCTGTATATTTGCAAACAATAGGATTAATGCCAACATATTACAACAGTTTCCTTTAAAAAGGCATTAAATTCTTTATCGCAAAAATTGTCCTCACTTATTGGTAAGAGAAAACGAAAGCCATGGTAACTTGCCTAATTTTGGCAGCGGTCTTCCGTCCAAGCGTTTTATTAAATGAGCTTTCACGGGAAGGCCAAGTTGTGGAATCCTTGCATAATTCCAAGGTGGAGATAAAACGACGCTCAGCTTCCATCAAATCCCAGTAATTTTTCTGAAAACCCTCCCCCACGCAGTCAGCTGATTTTGTTTCGAGGTCGTTGGAGAGTTGGGCGAGATGTTTTTCGTGCTCAGCATACACATCTCCACAGGCCTTCTTGAGCTCTGGTGGTTCCGTTTCTCGGTTTTCGCTGCCTACAACGATTCTCGGTAGACTGAGAAGTAGGTGAGGAAATTCCGCACTGCCCTGAATGCCGATCCGTCTCGGCACAGTCTTGGCAACCACCAATGAAAGTGCACCCGTAAAGGGTTCCGGTCTCGACGAAAGTACGTGCACTTGAACCTCCTGAGCCAACCCAGCTGCAAGGAAGCCACTCAAGGGGCTTACATCTATTTTACAACTGCGATCAGAGAGCTCTGCAATTTCTAACTGAAACTCGAAACCGATTTTTCCGAGATTAAAGATGTTGAAACATTCAACCGCTTCCTGTTTGTAGATGAGTGCACCAAAGTTCAATTCGAAACGGTCAACGGAGTATTCAACTTCAGAACTCTCTCCCTTAATTTGAACTTCGTAACTGGGTCCACCCTTCACTTCACAAGTCGCGCATACGTCGACTGCTATGTTTGGATGTCCAAAGAAGGAAAACATCGCAGGTTGAACCCCACCGGGTTTGATGACACCACAGAGTGGAGTTATATCCAGTACTTCCTCTATGCCTAACTGTGCAGTTGATTTGTTGAGCGTTTGCAGGCTATCCACAACACGATTGACTTCTGTTACTGGAGCTGAATGAACGCTTGGTACGGCTGCAGCCACTAAAGGTACGCTGGCTCGTTTTTGGTTTGTCGTGTCGACTTGCAGGTCGGCGGAAGCGTCTGCTACCGACTGTAGACGCGGGGCCGCGGACAGGGCCTGATGTTTTGACAGCCAGGAGGGGGAGGAGCTGGTTAAAGATGTCCTGGAGTTGCTTTTGAACACCACATGCGGGCAGTCGCCGAGGAGAAAACTCCACTGATAATGTACCTCCAGCGGGCTGATGTTCATCAGCGTCACTACTTGGGCAGATTCGCTATGGTTGAGAATGCAACCAAAGTCGACCAGATCTGTTTGAAGTTTCAAATTCGGAAACAGAACTTCTCCACGAAGTGGAACATGTTGCTATAGAAAATGAAAGAAGTCATTACGTAAATAGGTATCATGGTGTGACGTACTCTGGGCCATGTTGTGATATATTCTTCCACAAAACCGATTGGTGTTCAAATATCATCGGTATCTATTACCATTCGAAGAATAATGAGCGAACCCCGGTATGTTGGGGATTTTACTATAGACCGGAATACTCGCTTTGGAAAATTAAGAAGCATGTGCACCTTAAAATACTGTATTTTGTTATAAGTAGTAGATGGCTTCTGAAAAATATCGTCGCCATGAGTAATTGCGTAAGACTTAAACAGTCTGAAATAGTTTTTGCTTATGTAAGGGAGAGGGTGTAATATTTTCACGTTCTTCAAACTGCAACTTGAGGTATTTAAGTTACTAACGGCGGGCAAGCAGATTAAATTTGGGCCCTATCCTAACTTGTAGCCATCGAGTAACATGTTTACAAAGCCACTTTCTTATATTTTAACCGCTATGTTCGTTGGTAAAAGCGCAGCTGTTTCAGTCTCAGGAGAAATTTCCCCCGACGCAATAGATGTCATAAAGAGCAAGAAAACGGACTGTTACCTAGTTAATACATATACGATATCACTAAAAATTGGACTTGTTCTTAGCTTACTTTGGAAAACAACACAAGTTAGTACTTACAATCGATGGGTGCTCCAAAAACTCTATGATTAAATTGTCGTCCAAGCACCTGGAAGCCAGATCTTCCTTGAAATTCGGATCAAACTCGACTGTTATCCTCTTTTCCTCTGCCATGCATAAGGCCAAATCCTAAAATACGAAAAAAGCAGTTAGTAAATACGCTAAACTATTAGATAGGTTGTATTAGGCGTGGAAACGTTCTTAAAACCCTTATTTTCTTTTTCTTAAACAATTTTGGAACAAAATTCCAGATAAAAGGTGATAAATCTAGCAGACTACAATGATGTTTAGACCATATTGCATGTCAGCTACCAGCCTTGTGCATGACTTCTTCGATATACGTAGTAGGCTTATGGTAATACGGGTCAAGCCACTTCTGTCCAATTTACTTTGATTGAAAAATATGTGGCTCCGAAGCTGTGTTATGTCTATGCGTACAGTCACATTCGGTGAATGAAAGATTTTTGCTACCTAAACTCTGGTTATCTAAGACTGCTGGTTTCGGAATTTCAGAAGAAATAAGGCACATATTTCAACTTCGTTATCTAAATAAAATAAAGTAACAAATATGCAGGCTACGGCTATAATAAGTGTTTCTGAAAATTTAGTTCCTTAAATGTTGAGGAAACATGAGGACAGTTAAATCCTTGCTCAGATAAACCTCCTTGGAGCCACCACAACAGTTATCAAAGTGACATAATCCTGAGTAAGGGTTAAAGGCGGTGTGTACAATTAATAGAAAAACTTAGAATGTTTTAATAACTGCATAACATAAACGGCAAAAATTGGTTTCATAACTATAATATCAAAACTAGAGCAGCATCTACTCGTGGGTGGAGTGCAAGTGTGGTTAGACAGTTCGCCAGCTACCCTCTCAGACTATGAACCCCGGGAGGGAGGAGGGTGGCACTGGTCCATCCATGTCTGAAACTGATGGTCAATATATCAGTCTTTTTCAGAGGAAATTGGCTATCGTCAGACATCAGATGTTCAGCCACGTCTAATTTGTGTGCTTGGCTACTTATTTCACTTAGGTAGGCATGTGATGTTGGTGTCAATCGACCTTCAGGTTACCGTACGCCTCACGAAGGCATTCACGGACTGCAAACCCGAAGGTGTTGTCGTGTAAGAGACATGAAAAGGCATTATTAAGAGATTTTGGCAGAGTTAAACAATTCACTGGACCTACTTATGAAAAACTCTGCGACCTAGTCCAGAGATAATGAGATTAACTTGAGGAACCAGTTCGAAATACATTGACGTCCGGCCATTTAAGGAAAGCCGTTTCTTTTGAGAATTTAACGGTCTCTGATGGAGAATCCGCGACGGATCTCGAAACTTCAGGTGAATAGAAGTACTATCCCAGCGATAAAGTCGTCTTTTTCTCAATTTAACAGTCATTGAACATGACTTAGTGCGGAATACTCACCCTAAGAAGTAGAAAATGCGATCGCTGAAACTAGAAGTTCATTTGCCTGACGTTTCGGATCCTGTCTTGAATCGCTCTTCAGAGGTAACCACAGAAAAGGGTGATAAATGCAGAGGTTACGCAGTATTTATAGTCCGTAGCGGTCACGCGACCAAACGCATAGTACAATTAGTAGTTCCTGTGATCATCGTTTACGGTCATAATCGATGCGATGTTGGCTTGGCAGTCCCATTCCGAGTCATTTATTACGGCAAATTTCATCATCCGTGTGGGATGTTGGCTTGATAATTGCGCGGCCATTAGGTTCGCAGTCATCGAACTGCTTTCTGGAACTCGCCTGTTTGCTTCTATCAGCAATATTCCCCTTCGTAATACATATTTATCACGAAACTTTGTAAGTCAGAGGCATCTCTGTTTTCTATGGAGGACGACGTGATAGGAATGATTCGTTGTTACCAGAAAGCTGCCGATTACCCGGGCGGAAAAGGCCTGAAGAGCTTCGAGCTTAGATTAAAATCCCTTAGCAGCTGGAGTACGTGGAACCTTTTAGCTTGGGTAAACGGGTGCTTTTTGCTAGCCCTAAGTATATTATCGATTTTGGCTGTCAGACTGCGTAGCCTGATAACCAACCAATCAATATATCGAAGGTCAATCCTCTTTGGAGCGAGTGATTCAGATAGAAGCCTTAAACCATTCTCTGGTCGTGTTGCCATGAGAATCCCAACGGAGACGTAGCCATGAAATACTCTGCCGACTTCGTACATGTTTACGGCATATAGACTACTGTTTTCATCAATGCGCGCCTATCCGCAAGACTGCTAGACCACGTTCGAGCGAAACTGCAGCTGGCATACCCAGTCTGATTATGAGGCCTTCTCGATGAGTGCACCACTTCCGCGGGGGATCTTCCAAGCCACTGGTGAGGAATTCTGGAGTAGACATAAACCCCGAATGAAATCTCAGATTTCATTGACTAGGAAGAAGACGGTAAAATACACTGTAATGCACATTGAAAGGTTCTAGTGTTACTGATCAGATCAGATC